CGGCTTGGAGAGAGCATCCTTGACCTGTTTCATCTTGCCTGTTAGGGGAAGAGACGTGCGGGTGGGATAGAGAGGGGGAGAATATGAGCGACGAGGAAGGAGAATTGAGTTGTGACGAGACGCTTTGAAACGTCTTGAAATCAGAAATCAAAGCAATGTGAAGTCGGTAACTCAGCCACGAAGCTCGTGGCTCGTCGCGGTCCTCCGCGGTGCTTTGCGGTTCGTACCGTAGGCGTTGACGAGGGAGACGAAGCTGGTGTAACCCGAGTTGTTGAGCTTCTGGATGGCCTCGTCGAACGGCGTCATTGGCGCCTTCCCCGCAGGCGGAGATGGTGCTCCAACGCCAGTCTTTCCGGGAGTTGTCTTGGGCGCGGGTGATTGAGCCGAGCAGACTACGGCGAGGCCAATGAGTGCTAGCAGCAGAAGGGCGGATTGAGAACTCGCCATGGCTGAGAGAGATGGCGAGGAAAATGGATTCGCTTAGCGATGTCGAGTTCAACTCGTGTTTGTTGCTGCTTGCAAACTGTTAATCAAGGGGTGATGCTTGATGAGGAATGATGTATGATTTCGAGTTTATATTCCGATCGGACTCGAGCGTTTGAAAAATTTCGGGTGTCGCGTCGCGTCTCGGGTGCTGGTGAAGTTTCGGCTTCCGACGAACCCACGCAACTTAGCGTTGAACGCGGCGGCGATAACGGCTCCCGCAGTCAAGTCAAGCTCGATCGAAGGCGAACGAAACCATTCACTGCAGTGCGACTCGAAACGACTGCGCGCGACTGTGATGCACATGATCAGGGATTCTCTTTTGACAGCAAGTGGTGGGCGACGTGTCTGAACAGATCAGGGATCCACTTGCCGTTATGCTATTCGCCCACCCTAGACCACATGCACATCACGCTTCTAGCGAAAGCACTGGCGATAGGACTGTTGAGCTGTCGAATATCGTGGATTCGACACCGAAACCAGTAGGCGATTGGTTGCAGTAAATCTCAAATGTCCTCGACATAAGATTCACTGCTTAAAATTTCTGAAAACAGTTATATATGTTCTGACACCAAACGCCAAGTCGCAAATTCAAATTTACATCGCACACCGACAGTCCATTGCCTGTCGGCAGGTGTGAGCTGCGTCGCTCGATCGCAGCATCTGCTCCAGGCTATCGCGAAACCGACAGCGTCTCGATTTGACGAGGGAAGGAGGGAAATGAATTCCGACGCCACAGTCCAAGCCCACGTCGCAAGGCTTACATGCGATGGAGCAAATAATTTATTGCGTGAATTCCATTCAATTGCTCTGATTGGTCGTGTGCAAGTCTAGCTGTGCGCGTCGCATCCTTCCCTACAGAAAATGCCCCGCGCAAAACCCGAAGGGCCGTTATTCGTAGACAAAATTTTCCGGAGCGTGCCCTGACCAATCGCTTTGCCAGCGTGCAACCACGTTCCCGAGGCGCACTGCCCGAAGCTTACCAAACGTTCCTAAAATTCCTCAGATAATCACTGATGTTGAATGCGAGACTCGGAGGTACAAATTCAGGCGTTCCACTTCGCCCATCATCACCACACCAACTCACATTCTCTGCTCCTCTTTCGAACTCTCATTTCCGCAATTCCTCCACACAACATTTCCACAACACAGTTGATAGCCCTTGCACTGCTTCAATCGGTCTTCTTCTCTCGCCATATCCTACTGAGTCATCCTTCTTTCCGCAATCATGGCCGTATCTCGATCCGCTCTTCTCCTCCTAGTTCTCTTGAGCTTGGCCGTTGTCTGTTCGGCTCAATCACCCGCGCCCAAGACAACTCCCGGAAAGGCTGTTGGAGCACCATCTCCGCCTGCGGGCAAGGCGCCAATGACGCCGTTCGATGAGGCCATCAAGAAGCTCAACGATTCAGGTTACACCAGCTTCGTCTCGCTCGTCAACGCCTACGGTACGAATCGCGAAGTCCCGCGACGAGCGACGAGCTTCGTGGCTGAATTTCCGTTCACATTGCTTCATTTTTTATTTTTGTTTGTTCCAAAGCGTCTCATTGTGGGCATCAAAATCTTAATTCCCCTCACCCTCGTCGCTCATATTCTCCCCCTCTCTATCCCACCCGCGCGTCTCATCCTCCCAACAGGCAAGATGAAACAGGTCAAGGATGCTCTCTCCAAGCCGCTCACCATGCTGGTGCCGTCGAACGCGGCGATCAGCAAGCTGCAGATCACCAAGTACAAGTCAACGGAGCTGATGGTGGTCGTCGGATTCTCGGCCTTCAAGAAGGTCATTCCCGCCGATGCGCTCAAGACCCTGCCCGTGGGCAGCAACATCACGACTCTCGCGAGCACCAAGGCGGGGAAGCCAATGACGCTGCAGAAGCAGGCGAACAACAAGAAGGGGCAGGTGGTGCTGCAGGGGAAGAAGGGCAGCACCATGGCCATCACCAAGCTCAACTTCTACCTCAAGCCCGGCAAGCTCGTCGTTCACACCACCGACGCCGTCGCCTTCCCCACCACGCTCCAGGGCACTGTTCTGTAAACGGCATCGTCGCTTCGTCGCGGAGAACAGCAGCGGCCTGCCGCGCCGCGGCGTGTGAATCAATGGAGATGCGTTCGCTCCCACCATTTTTGGTAAAATATTGCTTCGCAGCTGATACTGATCTCTAGGATTACTTGCAGCGTACGTCCTCCTGGACCTTACTCAGCGGGATAGTAGACACTTCTGCTCAGCCAGTAGTGTGTTTTAGCTTGAAACGATCTGCTGGTGCTTAGGTTATCAAACCGAAGACTGTAAAGACTCTTCTCAATATAATTACTTGTTTCTTCAAAATTCTGGTCCCGGGCATTCCTGGGACCAGAGAGAGGACATGTCATATCGATGGGTCTCGTGAGCTAATCACCACGCACAGCTGCGTGGTTTGAGGGGGTCAACATAATAATGTGCAAAACCTTTAGGAGGCTGTGCTATTGAATCATCACTTCAGCAGAAGAAATGGGGGATCCCGCTCCGCCCCCCCACCCCTCTAATGGTCCCAGTCAGTGAGGATGGCAGGGTAGCAGGTGGAACTGGTGTGGGTCTTTCAATGGCGATTCGCGAATCTTGTGATGTTACAGTACACCCAATCACAAACTCCACTCAAGCTTACGAACGCCGCCGCAGCCAAATTCGATTTCGAGGACCTTTGGTTACCGCATCAAGTTCTGCGCCAGCCAAGTTCTCGCCAAAGCCTCCACATTTCACTCCAACAAGAGAGAGAGATCCGCCACAAGATTGAATTCACTACAAAAGCATCACAGTTGTGAGCCAGCAACTTGATCTACCGTAGTTCCATACAATAAATCAGACGTCCATGCAAAACCCATAGCTGTCATGCTTGACGGATGATCTGGACCTAGGAAATGTCTTTCCTAGCGCTCCTCCCTCGATAAATAATGTTCCGGAGTCACCCTCATGTAACACCTCATAGGTATCTGCAAATTCACCTGGACCTGAGCTTCCCACCTGATATGCAGCTTCCATTTCAGAGATCACTATCACCCTCTCTGGAGAAGGGCCTTCAAACTTCCCACTGTAGCTCGCACCCATCCAATAAGCAGCTCTTCTCTGCGGGTCATCCAACCCCCTTAGAAACTTCCTCTCCGCCTTAGTAACTATTTCGGAGGAGAATCGGCAGGACTGGGATCGGAGTGAGCGAGAAGAAGCGTTCCGGGCGGATTGCGGCGGGCCTATGGGTTGCAATTGCAGCACAGGTTGGGTCTGGGGAAGGAGCGGGTCGCTCAGGTCGAACCGACGCATTGGAACAGTGAGGAGTGCATTATCCGCGTCGGGCAGAAGTAACCGCGACGGCCGTCGATTCAACAGATTCTGATGGGACAACACCCCCCCTAGCTGCTGCTGAGAAGAATCCTCACTTGCAACTGATGAGTTGGCACCAGCAAGAAAAGGAGCAGCCTGCTGCACCGCTCCCCCAAACTTTTTGCCAAAAGAATCGCTTAATGAAAGGTCCCTCCTGGTATGCCTGCTTCGGCTGTCCGGGAGCCGTGTCGACTCGGCTGCTGCCTCTCTGCCATATACTTTCTGCTCCTCTCTCCGCCTCACGTCACCCTGCTGCACTTCTTGTGCAGATTTTCCCAGAGACTTTTGCGGCGGCTCAGAAGTCAGCTCTTCCTGTGCCAGTTCTCCCTCAAATAGCCTCCCATCAGGCCTTGACTTGAAAGAATTGAAACTACGGCTTACATTCACACGCAAGCGCCGCTCAACTCCTGTGCCAATGGCAATGTCACTGCAGCTCCAATCGGTTGACTTGCTATTGGTGGTTCCAGTGCTGCTGCTGCTGGTTCTTTGGGTGCTGGTCTTGCCATTGTTGCTCTGTCTTGCAGTGCTAAAGCTGCTGCTGCTGCTGGTGGCCCCAGTGCTGGCGCCAAAAACAGGGTACGCCCCGAAACTCTTGCTCTTCCTGGTTACCTTCCCTTTCTTCATCCCAGCTGATTGACCCTGCGGGTGAGTGTGTGGGTCAGTGTGTGACTGAGTGTGCGGGTCAGTGTGTGACTGTGTGTGTGGGTCACAGTGAGACTGAGTATGTGAGTCAGTGTGTGGTTCAGTGTATGAGTGAGAGTGTGAGTGAGATTCACGAGAGGAAGACTGCGGCTGATCAGCGGGCAAATACGACGAGAGAGAAGGGGCTCGGTGGTGAAAAACCTGTCGCTTAGTTAAACACTGCTTCGACGGGACAGACTCTTGAGTAACTGAGCCCGTTTCTTGGCTAAGTGGCGGCGACTTTTTATTAAGTGCGCGCAGCTCCTGGCAAGCAGAGACCAGCACCTGGTTAAGTGCTGCTTGGTTAAGCACTGGTTGGTTGAGTGTGGCTTGGCTAAGCATGCTTAGGCTGGGTGCCTCGGATTGGGGCAAACCTGTGTTGCGAAGAGTGAGAGCACGAGGGACGTAGAGAGGCTTGGAAGAAGGCTTGGAAAAAGGCTTGGAAGGGGAGAGAGGTTTGGAAGTAGAGTCACGGGAGGAAAGAAGTTTAGGCTTGGAAGCAGGCTTGGGGGGAGAGAGAGGATTGGGAGAAGGCTTGGGGGGAGACAGATGGGTGGGGGAATTCTTTTGGGGTGAGGTATCCCCCTTTAAGTGAAGGGATGGGACGAGTGCTGGTGAGTGGGAGGAGAGTTGAGAGACAGAGGGAGAGGAGTGGTGGGTCAGAAGGTGGGGGTTGAGAAGAAAGAGGGAAGGAGGTGAAGAGAGTGAGTGAGAGTGCGTGGGGTTTCGAGTTGACTGGGGGATTTTCGAAGAAGGGGAATGGGAATGATCATGGGGGGGTGATAGGTCCTGGTATTCTGATGGTTGATGTTTCGACGATAAGGTAATGGTTGGCGATAAGTTATCGATTGGCGATAGGCTTTCGACTGGAGATCGGCTTTCCGCTGACAATAGGTTATCATGCGATGAGGATTTCTTGAGTGGAGGCAGCGATTGGGAGGGGTGACAAGAGGTGGAGGGTGGTGACTGGGAGAAAGAGAGGGCTTGAGGAAAGGTGAGAGAGGAGGAAGACGAAAGGGACGAACGGGTAGAGGGAGGGGGGGAAGGAGAAGCGGAAGGGGGTAAGGGGGAAGGGGAGGAGCGTTGAGCACTAGGGGGGGATTGGCAGGTGGGAGGAGGAAGGGCATTGGAGGGCGGAGTTGATTGAGGTAGGGACTGGGAGGGCGAAGTAAGAGAAAGGCCAGTGAGTGAAGGTAAGGACTTGGAGGGTAGGTCTGATAAAGAGCGAGTGTGGGACGGGGCGAGAGAAAGGGGCCATGACAACGGGGGGGATTGGGTGGGGGACCCGCGACGCGATCTTATCTGATACTCCCCGTTTGAGCTTATAACGAGGATCTGGGACTCCTGGGAGACGTTTGGCCGATGTATTGTGGACTGTGAGCGGGGCACCCGAGGAGGGGACACCTGAGGGGACTCCTGGGGGGACGTTTGAGCAGACACCTGAGGAGACACCTGAGGAGACACCTGAGGGGACACCTGAGGGCTTACTGTGAAAGTAAGATCCCGAGGGAATCGAAACGTGGCTGATGATAAGGCTGACGGGTCTACTGACGCAGGCGGGTGGGCTTGTAGCGCGTATGAAGGAGGAGGACGACGAGGAGGAGGAGCAGAAGGAGCAGCAGCAGCAGGAGCGGGAGGAGGAGCAGCAGGAGCAGCAGCAGCGGCACGGCTTGCATCAGAGAAAGCATGACGTGTGCCTGAAAATGCGGGCGGCGACTTTTGAGGAGCCTCAAAGTTTGAAAATGCGGGCGGCGACTGGTGGTGAGCGCTTCCGCGAGGGGAAAGGGGGGCAGCGGCAGGAGGAAATGCAGATCTGCGGGGGGAAGAGGGGGCAGCAGTGGGGGCGAATGCAGCTCCGCGGGGGGAAGAGGGGGCAGCGCGGCGGGCATTGGCGCGGGGGGAGGAGGGGGCAGCGTAGGGGCCAGCGGCGCGGGGAGAGGAGGGGGCAGCGCAGGGGGCAGTGGCGTGGGGGGAGGATATGGTGCTGCTGAAGGCATGGGTGGCAGTTCCGCGTGGGGAAGGGGGGAACGCGGGAGGAAGCGCGCGTCCCCGCGGAGAAGTGGGGAGACCGGGGGGAAACGCGCGTCCGCGTGGGGAAGGGGGGAAAGAGGAGGAGGAATATGCAGGTTCGCGTGGGGATGAGGCGGCGGATTGGGAGGGGGAGAGTGCGTGTGATTGTGATGGTGATGTAATGGAATGTGAAGGGGAGAGTGAGTGCGAGCGGGAGGCGACGGATTGTGAGGGGGAAGCAACAGAGTGTGAGGGGGAGGGAGAGATGCCATGTGGCTGTGACTGGGACAGAGAGGCGATGGACTGGGAGGGAGAGATAATTGATTGAGAGGGGGAATTGGTTGGGGAGAGTGAGGGTGAGTGTGAGGGAGAGAGGGATGGAAGGAGGGAGGGTGAGGGGGAGGAAACTCCTGAAGGGCGCCCCCTGATGACTGCAGAAGATGTATACATGCTTGCCGAACCTGAAGACGCGGAACCTGCGCCTGCCGAACCTGTGGATGCCGAGCCTGCAGAAGCCAGGCCTGCTACGCCAGAGACATTCACAGCTGAACGGGAGCGCTGGTGCAACGCGGACTGCCTCTGATACCGCTGCTGCTGCTGCTGCTGCTGGTGCTCCGGCTCTAGCTCTGCTTCACCCTGAGAAAACCCCTCGAATGCTACACTCACGGCGTTGACTCCGTTGACTGCATTCACAGCTGAACGCGAGCGGTGGTGCAATGAGGAAAGCCTCTGATGCCTCTGCTGCTGCTGCCGCTGCTGCTCCGTCTTCTGCTGCTGCTGCTGTTGCTGCTGTGTGTTCTGCTGGTGCTGCTGCTCCGTCTTCTTCTGCTGCTGCTGCAGCTGCTGTTGCTGTGTCCTCGCCTGCTGTTGCTGCTGTGTCTTTGCCTGCGGCTGCTGCTGCTGCTGCTGCTGCTGCTGCTGCTGCTGCTGCTGCTGCTGCTGCTGCTGCTGTGTCTTCTGCTGCTGCTGCGGCTGTGACTGTAACTCTCCTCTCGCCTGATGATGAGGCATCTCACACACCCCGTTGACCGCGTTTGACGTGTACGAACGCGACCTATGGTGTGACGCGAGGTGTCTCTGCCGCTGCTGCTGCTGCGACTGCAGCTCTGCTGCCCCCTCTCCCTCTCCCTCACACACCCCGTTGACCACGTTTGATGTGTAGGAACGCGACCTATGGTGTGACGCGAGGTGCCTCTGCCGCTGCTGCTGCTGCGACTGCAGCTCTGCTGCCCCGTCTCCCTCTCCCTCACACACCCCGTTGACCGCGTTGACCGCGTTTGATGTGTAGGAACGCGACCTATGGTGCAACGAGAGGGACCTCTGCTGCAGCTCAGCTGCCCCATCTACCTCTGCCTCACACAACCCACTAACCAAATCGACTCCGCTTCCCTTGTTGACAGCGTTGACCCCGCTTTCCGCGTTGACCCCGTTGACTAGAGAGGAAAGCGACCGGTGGTGCAGCGCGGAGAACCGCCGCCGCTGCTGCGACCCCTCCAGTAGCCGCTGTAGTTGCGCCGCCGCCCTTGCCGCCTCCGCCCTGTGCCTATCCGCCTCCGCTAATATCCTATCCGCCTCGTCGTTGACCCTGGTCAACGCGCTCGCCTCCTCCTGCCGCCGCTGCTGCGACCCCTCCAGCAGCCGCTGCAACTGTGCCGCCGCCCTTGCCGCCTCCGCCCTGTGCCTATCCGCCTCCGCTTTTATCCAATCCGCCTCCGTCCTGTGCCCGTCAATATCCAACTCATCGTTGACCCTAGTCAACGCACTCGCCTCCGTCCTGTGCCCGTGCCTGTCCGACTCGCCGTTGACTCTAGTCAACGCCCCCGCTCCCTCCTGCCGCTCCCACACAGTCTGCCCAAACACCTCCACGAAATCGTCGTCTGAGTCGACTGAGGGGCGCGAGTCCGCCTTGAGTCGCGCCAACACGTCTAGAGACTGCTTTACCCGCTGCGCCTCCTGCGTTCTTTGCGTATCCTGCGCTTTTTGACCCGCCTGCGAACCCTGTGACTGCTTCTGCTGCTGCTGCGCCTGCTGCGGTGACTGCTGCTGCTGCTGCTGCTGCTGCTGCGTCTGCTGCGACAATATCACGGCCAAGCGCGAAGGACCGACGCGCTGCTGCTGCGTCGTCACGCCGCCAGCGGTGGTGGGAGCGGCGGCGGGAGCGGCGGCGATGGAGGCGGAGGAGGAGCCGGCATTGAAAAGCGCTTCCAGGAAATCCTCGTCCGAATCCACAGACGGGCGGCAGTCTACCCCCGAATCTGGGCGGCAATCTAACCCCACATCCGGGCGGCAAACAACTCCCGCATCTGGGCGGCAATCTAGCCCCGGATTTGGGCGGCTAGCTACCCCTCCATCAGCTGCCGCCAAACGACTCAAGGAAGGCACCAGAGGCGAACCGCGCCGCTGCACTGCTGCCGCTCTGCAAAGCGCTTCCAGAAAATCTTCGTCCGAATCGACGGAGGGAAGAGATGCTACGCCACCTGACTGGAATTGGACGGCTCTCGGACGGCACCCCACACCTCCGTTTACGTCTACGTTTACATTTGCGCTTACGCGCCGCTCCGCCACACCCTGACGAGACGCGGCGAAACGCTCTAATACTGCAGCAGCAACAGGAGCAGCAGCAGCAGCAGATGCAGCAGCAGCAGCTGCTGCTGCTGCTGCGCCGTTTTGAGTGGCTGCGACGTCGCGCAGCATTTGAACAAATTCCTCGTCCGAGTCGACCGTCTCACGCTCGCTGTCGCATGGCGTCGCAAGAGGCTGCCGCCTGTCGCCAGCGGAAGCGGCGGAAGGGGCGGACGGGCGGAAACGAGGGCTGCGGGGGCTTCTGGGGGAAGTTTTGGGGGAGGGCGGGGCGAACCGGCCCCTATCCCCGCGTTGGGCGGCAGACGCCGCCGAGCGGAAGCCGCCACGCGGGGATCGTGGGGACACGGGGGGCTTCCGCGAACGTTCGTCCTCTAGAATATTCGCGTAGATCCCCGTGACGTCCATCGAACGGCTAGGAACGTGCCGATGCTCTTTCGCCGAGCGACTATACTCTCTCCCCATGCGAGTAGAACCCTGGCTGAGATTCCTCTGACCGGCATTCCCGTGACTGCCTCCCCCCTGCCTGAAATCCTCCTGACTACAAACCCCCTGCTTGCTGTACCGACCCTCGCCTCCCCCCTGATGAACCGAGCTCCCCGCACTACTCATCCTCTCGCTATCATAATACGCAATATTCGCAAAAATGCCCGTAACGTCCATCGACCGGCTAGGAACGTGCCGATACTCCTTGCTGGAGCGACAGCTGCGAAGCGACTCGGCCTGACTGCTGGTTACGCTACTTATGCTTTCGCTAGCGTTGGATGAAACACTGGAATGGACGTCAAACGAGTCTGCCACTAACGGGTTCGCCTGCGACCAGGAATGCTGCCTGGAGTGCCGTCGCACGGCCGACCCCGCCCGTCGCAAGCTCGCCGTCGCACGAGTCGCCGCGTCTGCAGTCTGCTGCGCGAATGCCACCATGCGACCGGACAAAGCCCTGCGACGTGAGTCAGGCGACAGAATATCAACCGAGGAGTTAACAAGTCGTTCTCTGGGCGACACTTTCGGCGACTCTTTCGGCGACTCCTTTGGCGAATGTCTTGGCGACTGAGAGTCACGGGAAAGATTCGATTGACTCGAAAACTTCCCTCTTGTAAAGGAAGACGGCGCGGTGATTGGGCCTGGAGAGTACACCGGCGAGCAGGAAGACGGACCGTCAGGGGAGCCGTCAACTTTGACGGCTAGCCGACTGAAACGACTTGGCTTGACCAAAGTAAACGGCGCCGACTCCGACAGAGAACGCGGCTTTAAGCGGTGCGCTTGTGACCGTTGATTATGATCCTGGGACTGTTGGCGTTCCTCTAACCGTTGATCATGCCATTGCGACCGTTGATCCCCTCGCACCTCCTCCCAAACGTCATCCGTACCGTACAAATCCGCGGAATCCTCTCCCATCCTCTCCTCCTGAGCCTCCGCAATTTCGCTCGCAGTCGCACTGCTAGGGTTTGCTAGACTCTGCGATTTCCCTTTTACCCTATTCTGTCTCTGCTGCTGCTGCTGTTGCTGCAGCTGCTGCAGTCTCTGGGACTGCTTCAGGCTCCATGATCCTTGTTTCTCCTCTCCCCTACTACCGTGCGTCGTTCGAATCGCCTCGGAAAACGCGACCCGCGTCGCCGGTTCGAGAGATCTTTCACCCGCCGAAACTTGCGTCCCGGCGTCTGGCGAGAAAGAATCTGCGACGAAATCTTCCGATCCCAGACCGTCGTTCCCAGGTTCCCGCCTAAGCATCTCCTGAAGCTCCCGCCATCCCACGTGGCGGTTTGATATGCTGTCCGCTACTATGCTCGATTCCGTATGAAGCTGCTGCTGTTGCTGTTGCTGTTGCTGTTGTTGCTGCTGCAGCTGCCATTGCGACGCTTGCAACTCATTCTGTCTTCTTTGCGACGGGAACCCTAACAGGACGCGCGGCTCGGTCTGGTCCAAGCAACTGACGATTTCCATTTTCGCTGGTCTTTAAAACATACATTTGTGTAGCTAAAATTCAGCGGCAAACATACGCGTCGCACGAGATTAGCTGGAAGTCCCTTCGACATTGATAATGTCAAATGCATATGTGTGGAACAGGACAGGAGATTATTACAGACTTCGGAAATACTAATGGTCCAGACATAATCTCCTAATTCGAGTCCGCCTCGCGTCTAGACAAAAAATCACAAACTACCCAAGGGAGTTGACGTTCTGTGCTCCCACCCATGCTACACAGGATGATGTGGAAAGATATAGGAAGGAGTCACAACAAGCAACCACCACCATGCACATAGTGAAGCGACCACACAGGCATTCCCGCGTTTTTGCAACGTGGAATAATAATCTCATGATCATCTCTTCCCTGCCTGCCTACAGTACTACCATACTCCCGGACGGATTCCACCCTGACCGTTTCACCTTGTGTTCTGTTTTACAGCAATGTTCTGGAAATGTCAAACGAGAATTAAAGTGGTACAGTATTTTTAAAACCAGGTTTGGATGGGTTGGGAGGAACTGAACTGTTCAAGGTTACTGAGACTGATTCACTTGAGAACTGAATCACCATTGCTACAGCACTTGCCAGAGAAACCACACCAGGGCTGTCGCTTGCAGGGCGTTTGCCCTGCTGGACCTTGAATTCCAGGGCTGGGTTGCCCTTGAAAACTGAAATTGTGGGTTGGAAATATTCTGGCCCTGATTCTTGACAGGGCTGATTTTGGGCTCAGGCCCGGTGTGTAAAGGGTAGATTTTAGGCGACCCCTGGAACAAAATCTTTCGAGACCCCCTTCCCCTCCCCTCTCACCGCCCCCCCCCCCCCCCAACACTCCTCCCTCTCCTCTCCCCTTCGTTTCTAACCTGATTGCATCCAACAAGGCAAATTTCGAGTTGCTTGGCTGGGCCACAAATTCAACTTAACCTAGAACTTGTGCTTAAACCAATCACAGCTCGCTCTCTGTGGGGTGGGACGGTTCAGGTTGGGAAGAAGTGCGCAGTACCCTGAAGGTTGGGTAGTAGAAGTGCAGACGATCATCGGTTCTGCAAAGTGTATTTCCCCATCTTGTTTCTCTTGATGTCGTGTTTGCTTGCTTGTGGTTAATCTCAAACGTAGCTGTAAGCTTGGTAGTTGAAATGAGGCTCCCGATTTTTTCGCGCCAAACCTGATTCCAGGGAGGAAAAATTTCCAGCCCTCAAGCCTTAAGTGCCGAGACTCGCCTCAACCCTGCTAAATACAGGGTCATACATTCCGAGCCCCCTGATTTGTCCAGGGGGGGCCAAAACGAAACGACAGGCCTGATCCACACCCACATGGGTTGCAAGAGCGGAAGGGGACAAAACGAAACCCGAGGCACGCAGTTGCCTGCTGGATGGATGGTCCCTTATTGCCTCGCCTTGCTGCCCTCCCCTCGCCACAAGTAAAGCCACCATGCTGCAGTTTTCTTGAAATTGTCGCGTGTGAGAGGAAGAAGGGCCCATTCTCGGGTTTGTCTTGTCTCCTTCGAGCTTGCCCCCACTTCTATTCGACACTCAGGTGAGAGGCTAATTAGTTTCACAAGTTCGTGTACTTCAGTGTCGATCAGAACGCGTTGAAAGTGCAAATATCGCGGTATCGCGAGCATAAATCCAGCCCCACAATCGAGTGGGCAGATCGATTGGCGAAACATGAAGACCGATCCGTTGTAACGATCGCACCTGAGCTTTGTGGTGGATGTTCCAGGGCCGAAATTACTGCCCTGCATGCGATTCGCACCCAAAACATATACGTCGTCCATACACACCTGCGACACTCGCAGCCAACAGGGCAACCACCCTGGCGATGTGATGTTTACAGACTTCGCCAAATGTGGACAATTTGGGCGACAGCGATTCCTGGCTCTGCGAAATTTCAGAAAGTCGCAGGCTTCAGAATCAATTGCGCCAGGTAGGCTCGGTTTGAGAGCATTAATGACGCTTTGATGCCTCTCACTGATCTCCCGCGATCAGTGATCAGTCACATTCACACACTCCACAAATTCTGGCAAAAAACCGCACTGTATCAAGGTTACAGCAGAGTAAATAGGGTTACAGATCCGCACATCTTGCCACCCACGATCGATCGTCTACTTTCAACGCGTCCTCAGGAGAACGAAGACATTTCTCGCTAGACATTCACCATCTGCCACTGCCTAGGTGAATGCTGTGCAGTATTGATGTGCTTCTCCCTGAACAAGGGCAAGGGGAAAAGTTTCGACTTGCCCTTGAAAGGCTGCGGTGCGGTCCTTCGAGGACGCACCCACAGGCGGTGCGACAAGGGACCGACATGGCTGCTTGCCAACCACTCACTTCGCCGCAGGTCCAGAGCGGTTATCATATCCCTTACAGTGAAGGGATGTATGCATACAATCACCTACAAAATGCTTATTGCATCATGCTACCTTATTCATAGTGCAGCACAGCACTGAAAAAAATCAGCACCAGAAGAAGTCCATAAGAAAAAAAAAATCAGAACCTCGGATACCAAAACATCGCCTTGATTCCCTCGGGATCTGCTTCGAATCCCATGCCCTTGTAGAAGTCCACCACTGGATGAACAGCAAAAATCACCACAAAATAGATTGAACATTATTTTGTCATTGCCACCTAAACAAATTTGAGCCAAAAAAACATTGTTGAACTTCTGCAGACATTGATAGACATCCGATACTGTACCTTGCGAATCTGCAAAGAGGGTGATGTTGCCGATATCTCGCCGCAACAGGGCCCGAACCGTTTGCTCCACTAGAGCCTTGCCCAAGCCTTGACCCTGTGCCAGGTGATCCAGATACGGTATGAATATAAATCGGAATATTATATGTTGTCATCACGTCATTTCAGAAATTTCCGGGCCTTGATCCTGTGGTTAGCTTAGGGTACATTCCGGGCTTTGGTCGGAACAGCTGGTTAACACTGTAACCAACCTAACAATTAGCACAATTGGTGAGAAATAAGTACGATTTAGGGTCGCAGGAACGGAGGTTTGACCAGAGACCCGAATGTACTCTTATTCAGGCATGGGATGGGTATGTGTGCACACACACTGTGGGACGGATCTTGGCATGGGTCATAAGCACATACACGAGCACATACACAACCAAGCACATACAGACAAGATTGCACACAAAAATGAGCAGATGCATTAAACTTACATATATGAGTACATACACACATATGCAGATGGGACACACATGAGCACATCCACACGTGAGCACAGCACATCCACACATGAGCACATCCACACATGAACACATGCATACAGATATTTCCATATCCACCAGCATGTCGCAAATGGTTGTATTAATGTGTGGTCTGACGCGAAGGAATGCAAACCGGGTGTGATCCAAACAGCAATAACTCATGCCGCACTCACATGTGGGGTGACTGAAAGCACCACACCACAGTACCTGCTGGTTTTTTAGATTTCTCAAAAACCAGACTGAAAGCACCACACCACAGTACCTGCTGGTTTTTTAGATTTCTCA